GAAACAGTGGGACGCACGTTCTAACCTAACCTAACCTATTCTAATAAATTATCATAATTATTACCATTTATATTATTAGAATAGGTTAGGTTAGAACGTGCGTCCCCACTGTTTGCTTTTGTTTGCTGGAATCACACGTCGTCTCCAAAGCGGTCCGGTTTCGAGGCTAAAACAGGAAGAGCCGCCATGATGGTCTACGACCCTGGACATTAACCCTACAGACTAACCTCGTCCATCTTCAGCTTTACGAACACCCAAAGAATCCAACTCCTTTTGCATTACCCTCTTTTCCAACCCTCGTCTTCTAACTTTTCTGTTCGATCCCGGGCGACGCCCCGAAAATGTGCCATCAAAATAATAAAAGAATGGACGATTTTCGAACACTTTTCTTCCTCCCCGTTCCTTTTTCCCGCTCTTGTCTGCCTATGCGCCCTCCAGCGGATGTTGACTTTTTAAAAAAAAAATCTCGTCCTCACCTGCGTAACTTGTGAAGCGGCAGACGAGATTTTTTAGGGAACATTTCTTAATTTCTCTTTCCTTTCATTTACACGAAATGTTTCTTTCTTTGGTGTATTCTTGAATCATTTTTAATTAACGTTTGAATAGGGGCCGGTTACCCTTAAAAAGACCTCCTGGAAGGCATCGCCCAAGTGTTGGGTTGCCAAACAAACAAGCAATTTGAGAAAAGTGTAGACCTATAAATTCACACTCTCGTCTGTCCGTCTGTTTTTTCTTAAGCTGTCAGTGTTAGATAGATGAATGTCGAGATTAGATATGGAAACTTTACGGGTTGTAGGCCCCGATTAACTATACTGTATAAGAACTTCCGATGCAAACCGGAAGTCACTTTATTTTAATTCAAAAACCTTTCCCCTGAGAATAATTAATAGATGACCGTCACGACTCCATAGCTGACGAAAAAGTATGATGTAAGGGGCAAGACACTATAGTACAAATTTGAAATGGAGAGCATATATTTTAAATTAAATAAATAAAAAATTGCTAGGCATTGTAACTATGTCAATAAATAATTCCTCGTTTAAGATTACGTATTTATACATATTAACTAAATTAATCAATAAAAATGTTAATAAAATTAAATTATTTTTACATAGAAAAAAATTTTTTTAAATAAAATAACGCATATTCCTATTTGAATTTGGAAGGTCAGGTGGCGCTGTTTGCGTAATCTTTGCCACTTTGTAAGTAAAACAATTTCTAGTTTTTGCTATTTTTTTACTGGAATTTAAAGGCTTAAATACTTGTGTAAGCTAATTTAAGTCATTTTCTACTAAATTAAAGTGTTTCACGTGCACAGTAACAAAATTATGTGTTATTGTATGTATCGAAATTTACTAATGATAATGCCACGTGACGTGCTCTCAAAAGGTGTGTTGTTTCAAGATAAAGCGTTTTTTATAAATGAACACACAAAACTATCCTTCTCAGAAGCTTTAAATGGAATTAGTTATATTAATAATATCGATAATACACAAACTTCTGATAAATCAAACGGAGAATAACAAACTTCACCTGTTACTAGATGATAGCATCACAGATGATAATACAACTGCAAGAGGAAGGTTTAGGTCACATAATTGGCTTAAAACAATGTAAAATTGTTCCATGAAACCCAGTGAATTAACCTATTTAAAACCAAATAATGAAGTCCAAAAACAAAATCCTACGATGAAACCGGATCTACGTTAACGAATGTTTTATACAGCTGACCAGTTAAAAGCTGTATGCTCCTAAATAACGTAAACAAAAGTTAGGTGCACTCGAACGGTGTCTATATGCGAACGGAGTATCGGAACTAATTTTCAAATCTGGAACTACTAATCGACTTTATACAACCTTATACCCTAGAAAATGTTGGTAAAAAATTCTCAAAGTCTGAGGTATTAAACTATATTCCGGCCCAAAATAATGGAATGAAACTGTTAAGTCAAGCGGATAAATCTGAACTCTTATTTCAACTTATTGATAAACAGAAAAAGTTTGAAAATGGATGGTTTGTGTCAGTCCAGACATCTGATACTGTATGATTAAAACAAAAAGAATCTACACAGGCTTAAAATCTTGTCCAGTGATAGATTTCATGTCAGTAATCCTATGTTATAATTGTAAAAAATATGGTCGTTTTGCCAAAATACGTACCCCAGCAAAATCTGGGAGCTATGAACATTGCATAAGGAAAAATGATACACTGCTATAACATGCACTAATTGTCTTAGATGGAGCAAAAAATGGGAAGAAGACAACATTTAAATAAATCATCGAGCAAAGAATCCAACCTTCTTTTTGCATTCCAGAATTGAAACAAAACTTATTGTGTTAACGGATTATGTTACTCATGAATTGTATCACAGGTCTATTGCTTTTACAACTATATATGCAACATGCTTAGACTTCCACAAACAGGCTTTTACAGCATGTGTATAAAACTGAGGTGATTATTTCATTCTCCCAATACCCCTACATTTTGTATAGTAAAATAGTGTACTTTTCCCAATCATAGAAAATTTTTTTTGTACCAAATGATGGAATCCTTTTGGCATGTGTCTATTCAGATATCACTATAATGGCAGTGCCTTTTGCTACACCCAATAACTGGTGTCAATAATATCACTTGAATTTTACTCCAAAATATGTCTATCCTCAGCCTACTGCACTTGCTTTCCCATTTATTCATATCATCAACACAATATTTGATATCTTAGAAAGTAATAAGTACTAATTCTAACTCCAGTATCATAAAATAGTATGACACACTAGAAAATGAGAGTGGCAATAGATTTTGTGAATTTATGTATGAGTATCAATTTAGCATAATAAACTCTAAATCTGACTCATCTTTCCATTCCACACAAGGAGAAAGTTGGATAAATATAATGCTTGCTGGGTCGATGATAATGTATTAATTGAAAACTGGAGTCATGTTAGTAAGAAATTTGTTGTGATCACAGTGCTTTCTTTTTTGATATTATTCTTCCTTGTAAACATCTGATTGACCATACCTTAGACTACAAAAACAAAATGACAAACTGAAACTTCAGAGACTGTCTCTCTAAGAAACTCTGATCTTGAAATGTTACTATCATTACAATCCCCATGCCACAGATACTAGTACTTTATAATTTAAAAGCAACAGCAGATGAAGTGATTGTGGCAAAACTACTGGCATTAATTAAAATAGATCCCTGGTGGACACTAGAACTAAGGTCTATAAGAAAACATCAACATTTACTTTTTAATGTTTAGTTAACTGATGGGGGGCAGTGTGAGCCTGAAATGTGTAGTAATGCTTGTATTAACTGAATAAAGGTGAGAAAACGTCAAGTGTTTAATAGTAGCACAAATTTTGTGTTTGAGCACCAAAAAAATCAACAGTTTGAGTTGCTATCAATGGCAGAACAACCTAGACCTATTCTGGTTTCCCAGACAAAATATAAGACTGCCCTAAAAACAGTGCAAGCCAAAATCACATCTGGAAGAAGTACTGCTCCACTACAGGTAGCAATAACTCCTTGAGAATAGTCTATAAAATCTTAGCAAGAAATACACCAAACAGCTACACCAATCCCATCAGCAACAATGAAACTAACATTAACATTTCAATGCATTCTGAATGCCATTGATTTCATTGCCTGTTACATTTTATCTCAGGAAAATGTGGAGTCATATAATACTATAACTTCTATAAGAAATCTCTGAGAAATGAATAGCTTAGATCTGCTATCAGCCAGTTTTTTCCACTTTGTCATAAAAGTTGAACTGCATGAAGTTATATACTCTGCAGATCCAAAGAAAGCCCCAGATATAGAGAGCAAAGATCATCTTCTTACAAGGAACTTATAAACTAATAGAAATTTTCTCCTAAAGACAAAAAATTTCTGCTGAACATGCTTCTATTTTTCTCAACACCAGAAGGTAATCAAAGTTATTCTACTTAAGAAAGATTGAAACCAATCCAATAAATTTGTTGAATCATCCTTCTTCCAGTTTTGGATAAAATTGTACAAAAACAAACTTAAACAGACTTCATTGCATTAGTTAGAGGTTGGGGTTTATCTCAACTAACCAATTTAATTTTTACTCAAAATAAATCAGCAGAGGATGCAATCTGCGCTTAACAAACTTTATTGAAATCAGTTTCAAACAGTATTTATTCACAGCAGCAATTTTCCTGGATTTTGAAATTGCCATTGACAATGAAATAATAGTACCTGTAGACAACTGGAGAAACATAAGTATCAAGCACATTGACTTCCATGATACATCCGAAATTTACCACAATAGCCTTGAGCTTTAAAAGCCAGTGGAAGCAGCTTTGTTTCTCAGATCAATGTAACTTCTATGGTGCTTAAAATGTATGGCTGTAAGTAACTGAAACTATTAGCCTGTAGCTAAGTGAATTGAAAGTTGATTCTCAGGTGTCTGAATTGTTCATAATTGATATTTAAAGAAATGCATGAAACCATTAGTGATATATTGTTTATGTTTAATTAAATGTAATGCAACATCTATGCATTTTCATTAAATACAAAAGCAATTGATTTTCTGTAGTTAATAGTGAAAATATCAAAATATGATTTAAAAATGATTCTACAAGATAAAAAAAAAAAGAATTATTTACATCATAAATTTTTCTTCAACTAAACATGAAGCAATTGAGATATATAATTTTTATTGCATTGTATACTGTGGGATGCTGATTGGGTTGTCTTAGATTAAGGATTTTTCGATCAGTTTTTGCAAGGTTTTGATAACATACAAAGCATCTATGACATTACTTAGTGTCTGCATTTTTTAACACAGGCTTGTTTTGCTAATCTTGCATTGCATTGAGATAATTGTCCAACTGTTAAGTTGAAAACAAGTTTTTTTTCTGTATTTTGTTCTCAAGTTTTCATTAGCCACCTCTTAATTTTAATGTACAATGTGAGCATTCACTACAGCATCACCCTGTAAAGTACTATATTATTTTTCCGACTTTCCAACGATTATCGACACTACTGTGTGCTGGAAATAGCCGTTCCCTAACGGGTACTTTACGCGGATTCGCGTTAGTGTGCCAGGCCTGGACTTTAAGCGTGCACCGAATTAAATAATGACAAAGTTTGTCAATAACAAAATCAAATATTTAATTAAACTTCTAGTAATAAACTCTATACAGTATTTAGTAAAAATCAAACAATAATTTATTCAATGAAATTCAACAAGAATCAATCCGACAAACTCAAATCAATCTATTTCTAACTTAATTCTATTCCCCTTTGGAATTCGACAAAATCAAAGAATTAACTTATAAACAATAATTCTTATAAATTAAAGATCCTAATCGTCACCTCAATATACTAGGAACCTATTTCCTCAAACTCTCAAGACTTTCTATAATCGTCGATCCACAAATCGAATAACTTCAAAATCCTATCGGACACCTCTCTCGTTCACTGCTACGAAGCTCACCAAAGCTCGTTGCTATCAGGAATTCACCTCGTTCGTTTTCACTTGAGTTAGAGGCTTTATAGTGTGAGGTGACGTCACAATTCTGAATGAGCTCACTCTCCTCATTTACATAATTATCTGTAACATTAAATTTTTCTCGTTTATCTGGCAGATTATTTTCCGACAATACTTCGCTAACCTTTTACATTATTCTTTTTAACAATTATCGGGATGCTTTATTATTTTAAGGTTTAGCGATTCCTAACTGGGTTGTGGGGTTTCCCCCCCCTTTTTCTCGGTGCGGACTTACTTTTTTCCGCTTGGGAAGCGCAAGTGTGCGCGAGTTTTTCTACGGCGCTTTTCTTTCGTCGGTGAGTTGGTTTTTCTTCTATTTTTAAGTTACTAAGGTGAATGGTGAGGAAACCTTCGTCTTAACTAAACATAAGCCCCAAACAAAATATAATGAAAGCAAAATAAAAGTAAAATAAAAATAAAGCTCAGACTTGGTTCCTTACAACCCATTAGATGAATGGGCAGTTTTCAATACTCCCCTTTGTAATAAAGGTGATCAGCCAAATCAGTATATGTTTTACACTTGTAATTAACTACAACAATTGTTTATTACTTAGTCTTACCAGAATGACTGACTGATTTGAGTTCAGCAAAGTACTAAATTACTCCCCTACTAATATCCTACTAAATAATAAAAAAATGGAAAACTTTATTAAAATCAATGGAAACACAGAAAGCAAAATAATGAACAAGCATATCATGAGATGTTGCACTGAAACAAAAATAAACTCATTTTCATATGAATTGGCAAATCATGCACATGGCCATTAGAGCAAATTTCGGTGTTAACGCCACATGAATCAAATGGTATTTCTTAGCTCAAAAGAGTAGAAAAATATGTTCATTAATAACACATTCAGTGACACTTACCAACTCAATTGCTATCATTAAGGTGACCAACTTTTTACAATGAAAAGGAGGACACAAATAAATTGAAGGAAAAAATACTGTAAATAAAAGAAGCATTGTATTCATTGCAACAATAATACAGTATGATAATTTCTATATAATATTTCCTATTCATCTTTCACAAGTATTTCTTCAATGACTTTGAAACTGTTTAATATTAACTCTCTCTTTTTATACTAAAATTCTTATTGTCAACTTTGAAGATGACCTATTTTCTATTTTATAATCAAGTCTGAATTAAACAATATAAGCTTTTGCACTTGCTCAGTTTGTCATTCTTTTGAAATTATTTATTGTAACAAGAACAATTAAGCAACATGTCTGCTGAAGGTAGGTATTTTATTGTTTAAATGTAATATTTTTATTATGATATTTAATAATAATAAAGAGTTCAATATAAAACAGAATGCTAAGGAAAGAAGACACAAATGAAAATAATTATATAGAAAATGAATTTAAAAAACCGAATCATAACTTGGATTTCTGTTTAGATAAAAACAAACAGATGAAAAATTCATGCATATAAAGTCACTGATAAATTATGGAGGGATGGAGTTTCAAAGTAATATAATTAAGGGTAATTATAATTAAAATAAAGAGATTATATTTTAGATGTTTATGTAGCAATATATAAAAGTGATACCGGTGGTTGTGGTGATATAATTTTTTTAAAATGTGTAATTAATAAATTAATAAATATTAAGTGTAAGAATAAATATTACAAATATTCAGTAACTAGAAGAAGCTAAAGAATTGTTTTCATATCTTGTCCTCCTCCAACATCTCAAGAACACAAGTCATTACGGGTGGAGTCGACCTTTGAGTCTACTCAATCACCTGATATGCAAAAATGTTAAATAAAATTCTTGTGAAGGGACAATTACAATAAGAATATATTAATAAATGTGATGGCAATAACAGTAGTATATATTAAAAAATTCACAAACTAGAAGAAACTACAAAACTTGTCTTCGCATCTTGTCCTTAGAAACACAACTGTAATTGTGCTTTTCCCGAGAATTTTTTAAACAATTTTTCATTTTGAGGCAGCAAGTAGCCTAAAATATAACATCGACTTTTCTCATAAAGAGTGTTATGTTCCATAGGTGGTGTCAACATCTCTGGAACATAACAGTCTTCATGAGAACAATTTTTTACTTTCTTCTAGTTTCTGAATATGTTTAATAATATTTATTACTGTCCTGGCCATTCCATTTATTAGTATGTTTTTATTGGGGTAATTATTGTTTTCTATATTGTGTACATCTCAACATTAAACAATAAAAATTCAAATTATTGATCTTAAAAATATATTAATATAAATTCATTAAAATTTCCTGTTAATATTTTAAAAATATTAAATATTTGACAATTAATGTGCTTGGATATGAAAAAAAGTTAATTTATCTCATTTCTATATATAAATGTTGATTTACATATATAGAAAGTTAATTGTAAAGAGAGTAGGAATTAATAAAAATGTTTATTAATTATTAATCTCTTTTTAATATACAAAAGTATGTGATATATTATAGAAATTTAAAATTTTATCTTGAAGAAGCACCAATCTTAACCAAAATTTAAAGGATATTAGTATTTTATCAAGCTGTCTGGTTTTAACAATACAGTGGGTTATCGGTTAACGAGCAAATCAGATAACGAACACTTTCACGAAAGATTTTTATGATCAGACAATGAACACTTCACTGAACAAACATAAGAAGAAGCAAGGTAAAATAATGAATACCAATTGGTCTACCCTTATCTTAAAGCGACAATTCGAAACTTTTCGGAGCGCGGGAGACGTCGACATCGACTTTCTACCCAGTATAAACTGATCGGATAGTATTCCCTCAAACTTTGAAACTCTCCCTTGTAATTCCAGCCTTTTATATTTCTGACAGAAAGAATTCTTTTACGTTTTCTACTGAAAATGTGGATTAATGCCAATATTTGCTATTAAAGATCTTTTGAAGAAGTGGGAGGATGTCAGAACAACGGTCTTAACCAGGCAGACAATGTCATCCAAACCAGGTTGAGGTTAATAGGAGTAGGGATCTCTACAATTACAATGCTATTAATTACTTATGAAAAATCACGAAGAAGACAGAAAAGCAATCGACATTGGACAGATTTTTTAACCCCCACAAATGGAAAAAACATGACTAATAAAAATGCAAGACCATGTATATATGTATTTTTATTATTACATATGAATAAATGTAGTAAGAAAGTATATATTTTATATATTTTTTATTTTTGGGGGTCTCCAGAACGAATTAATCAAATTCCCATAGAAACCTATGGTAAATTGATACTCAGTTAACCAACAATTCGGATAGCAAGCAAAGTCTTGGAATGGATTATGTTTGTTAACTGATCACCCACTGTATATTCTATTTATAATCATAAAAGGCAAGAATCCACTAATAATTCTAATACTTAAATTTATAAACTGTTGTGAGAATAGTTCAATGTCATAGATATTTTAGTAATGATAATTGCAATGTAATTAAATGAATAAAAATTAATATTTACAGATGTATCAATTCAAATGTCAAATAATTGTTATTGTATAAATTGCTTCATGATCTTTATCTTTTAAAACAATATTTTAATGAATGCCAGAATAACTGACAGTGATTACAAACAAAATATTGAAGTGTTAATACAGAATTTTGATAAAGACGATGATAATATAAAAGCTGGAAGTGCAATTTCACAATATTTGAGTAAATTTTGTTTCCAACTTTTTAGTAAAATCTTTTCTAAATGCTTCTATGAAAAGTGTATTAGAAAATATTGAATGAACACAAATTTTATATATAATTACGTATTCATTTTAACTTCATCTTTTAATATAGTCCATTGTAACCTGAAAAATTTATATTATTATGTATTCAATTAGTCTGTTTAAGGCCAAGTTTTATGTCTCACTTTAGTCTAAAATTTTCCTGTCATTTAGAAAAACCAGTTTTTTTTCCAATTAAAATACACTAACTTTTTAAAGTGTACTATTTTGTGTATAAAAGAACCTTATTTTACATTGTGATATGGTTTTCATCAGTAACAATGTTTAATTCCTTTTCTACAGAAAGGCACCATAATTTTGTCTATTAGGTGAAAATATTCATGAATTTCTTCACTAAAACACATTACTTGTGTGACCCATATAAGTATAAAAAATCTAATTTTTCATCACTAACATTTTCCTCTTGTAAATTGCCATTTTTCAATGAATTCTCACCTCGAGCTCCAATTTAAAACAATTTATCCATACTGAACATGCACAAAATAAAAATTTGAAGATTATAATACAGGCTAGAAGAACTATTCAATTAGATATCACATTTTTTAAAATTCTAGCAAAATTCATCTCAGTTGAAAAATGTAGTACATAGTAAACGAGTATACTTGGCTTCTCCAAGTATACTGATGGATGGCCTTGAAAGTTTAATATTCATTGTTGTGGAAAATTCTTTATAATTCTTATACACGTTGCAAAAATGAAGTAGGAAACTTTTCATTTAACCTTCAAAAAATGTTTATGTATATTCTGGAATGTACATTTTTGCTTTGTAGCATTTGTAATATCTGATATGTAAAGTTTTATTTTTATTTTTAGATTGTTTCTGGAACATCGTCTCCATTTTCCTCAGATGACTACATTTGACAGATAATGGTCGAAATGCTTTCCTCAACTGATGTTTATTTGGGTATTTGAAGACATCACTGGTTCTGTCTGTGTATTTAATTTAATTCATGCTCAGAAGATTAACTTTTGATTAGAAATGCTACAGTTTATCAGCTAAATTATTTTGCATGATGTATTTAATTAAAATATGTTAAATGTTAAATTTTTTATTTGTGTATAAATAAATATTTTCTTAAAAAAAAAAGATAGAAATTAAAAATTTGAATTTTACATGTTACATGGTGCCACTTTTATGTTTTAAATTGACTGTTCAGTTACATTGAAGTCAGCCTTGAAGTAGAGAATTGGTATAGTTTTATTGTAACTATTCAATGAATTGAAAGTTGTTTTGGGATGAGCAAACACTTTAAGGAAGAAATTCAGTGTTGTTTGAGTGTTTCTTCTTATGAGTGGTATCCTTTTTTGTGCCGTCATCTTCACTTGGGTACATACCTGATTAGAAGGGAAGAAAGAAGAGAAAACAACAGTGAATATGTTTAATGTGCCACACTTTGTTCACTACCAGTGATATGCTTCAGTTCTCCTTTGTTTATAGAGAAAAGTTAACAGATGTTTTACGTTTTCTTTCTATTGGTTAGCCAACAATCCTTTCTGTTTTGACACGGAGACCAATGGTTAGCAATAAAACATACTTATCTTCCATGACTGCTAATTTCTCATTTATATATTTTATGTTCATGATATCCAAGTAGATATTTCCAGGACATCTTTCCATACTTCAATCTTGTCTAAAATTCATGATAAGATCCTGTTACTTAATTTTTTAAAAAAGGGTATAATATTCTCATATTCAAAAAGGGTCTTTTCATCATCTCTCTGACTGTCTTTTTGATTTCAACAATTAGTCTGGATGTCCAATGTTTTTAAACCTGACATAATAATTTATAGTGTTGATCGAAGAAGAAAATCTTATTGGTGATTATACTGGGAAGAAAAAATAGAAGTGAGATTTCTGAAGAAGTAGAAGACAAGATTTCTCAGGTAATATCCATTTTATATAAAATAAAATATGTTATTGATGTAAGAAGTCTTGATCTTTGATCTCTCTTCAATGGTTCAAGTTTCAAGTTAAATTAGTGTAAAGAAAATTAAGTAGATTTCTATTATTTTCTGAAGATATTTTTAAATTCACATATTTTGGGAAATATTTGAGTATATATAATTTTTGTGACAAAAGCTCTTAATATGTGAAAATAGAAGGGAATTATCTTTTGTAATATACACAGATTTTAATTATTTTAGATAAAACTAGTTTGAATATTTAATATGTATGAAGCTAAAACTTTACGGTGTAGAAGAAAATCTATACAATTATTAGTTTTTGTTTCAAATTAATTTTTTTAGAAAATATTTGATGTTTTCTTACCAGATTTAATATAGAACTTTGTTATTTTATTTGCAGATTTCTAATTTGCCAATAAAAACCATTTCTGTATAACAAATGAAGAATTGTTTTCAGAAAAGTCAAGTATTAAAGGATGTGTTTATTAAATTCTTTTGCTGACAGAAGAATGAAACTTTCTTATAAGAAATGATATAAGAAAATATGAAAGAAGAAAACATTTTTGATGCAAATGAAGAAAAACACAAAATGAAATGAAGATATTTTTAAAAAATGCTTCATATAAATAGTTTTCAGAAAACTTAGAAATCACGTTAATTTATGATAGTATTTCTCTGTGTTGCTAATGTTTTGTGAACACTTTGGTAAGCACTTATTGTATATAATGCAGTAAAATCATTCGAGGAGGTTGTAACATTTAAAGTTTAGTTAAAGGATTGTTATTAGAAAAATGCATATAATTTTCTATCTGCCCACAAGTTTAACATTAATTTAAAAATAGTTTGGTTAAATTTATATATTTATATATTTGACTGATGATAAATTAAAGAGAGTTTTGGTCTCTTTAATTTAAAAGTATCAAAAGCAATATCTAACATAGGTTTTGATATTTTTATTTCTCATATTTTACAGGTTTCACGAATCAAAAGAATGGAAAATATCGATGCGAAAGTTGCAAGAAAGAATTCATTTCAAAATATTATTTAAAACATCATCAGAAGTTTCACACCGGAGAAGGTCTCTTGTCTTGCGAATTCTGTAATCGTAAGTTCAACACTACCAGCAGTCTAAGTAATCATGTCAAGGTTCATACCGGAGAGAAACCCTTTACCTGTCAATATTGCAGACAAGGGTTTTCGCAAAAAGGTAGTCTGATGAAACATCTTCGAACTCACACTGGGCTGAAACCTTACCCTTGTGAATATTGTGGACGAAGTTTTTCAGAAAAAGGAACTCTGAGAGATCACCTTCGAACTCACACGGGGGAGAAGCCTTACACTTGTGACCATTGCAAACGAAGTTTCAGGCGAAGAACTACCCTGGTACTACATCTTCGTGTTCACACTGGAGAGAAGCCGTACTCGTGTCATTATTGCTCAAAAAGATACTGTTCTAAATCAACTTTAAATCATCATATTATTACACATCATGATGATGAGAATATAGAATAGTGATATGTTTTATGAAGCAAAATGTGAATAACAAAAAAGGGATGAAAATGATTAACTAATTGTGTTTCTTTGAAAAAATATTTGATACTCGTATTTAGATTTTATTCAACGTAAAATAATTGAATTTTTGAAGTTTTAATTTTTTTGATTTGCAATTTTTACATTTTATATAAAAGATTTGATTTTATGGACGTAAACTGGAAATGTTTTGTAAAATTTTTGAATAAATGACAGTTAAATTTTAAATTTGTACAAGGTTTTCCAGTTTTTACAGGGAAGAAAGTAATAGAAATACCTCAAAATGAAATTACAAACAAATTTTAGATAATTAGGTGTACAATAGAATGTTTAATATACAATGTTCGATAAATTAAAACTAGTAACAAAGCTGTGACGACCCGGTACCATAATGATAAAGACACTTTTACATTATACATTCTAAACCAACAACAAAAATGAATATTTGAAAGAAAAGGTTTATTTTATTTTTCTATTTGCATGTGATGATATAAGAAATTATTTCTTCTCTGTGTGAAAAAAAAGACTGCTTCAGGGTTTTCCATTGGGATTACTGTATAATTAACCAGTAATTATGTAAAATACTTGTATGTCATTTGAATGTCTTTCAAAATCATAATCCTCTAACACCAAAGCAGTATATTGTAATTCAACACGTCATTTGCTTATGTTATTGACACTATATATTGATCTGCAGAATTTAATATTGTTATCATATTTGTTGGTATTATTTATTTTGCCTTAGCCGAAGAAACAGTGCAATTTCTATTAGTTTTCTAAATTAAAAGTATGGTTGTTTTTTTAATTCTAATTGCAAGTTACAAGCAAAAGAAAAGATTAAATTCACGAAATTTATATAAAAAATTTATTATTTCCATAATCTAAAATGTTATAAAATTATTATTATTCATAATTTACTAATAATTTCTGTGTAATGAATGAATTGTTTCCAGGAGAACACAAGAAGAATTAAAGGATGTGTTTACTATTATTTGCAGAAGACTGAAATTGAAGCCAGTAACAAATGATATAAGAAAACACAAAAGAAGCAAACATTTCATGCGAATGAAGAGAAATACAAAATAAAATGAATGAATAAAGAGTGCTTTATATAAATTGTTTTAAGAAGAAAATAGAAATTACATGAATTCTTGATAGTGTGGGTAATATTTGTGAACACTGGTAAGCGCTTATTGTATATGATGCAGTAAAATCATTCGAGGTGGTTGTAACATTTAAATTTTAATTGAAGGAAAATGCATATAATCTTCTATGTGACCACAAAAGTTTATATTACTTTAAAAATGGTGGGGTTAAATTTACAAACCTGACTGACAATAAATTATAGTTTTCATATTTATCATATTTTACAGGTTTTACAAATCAAGAGAATGGGAAGTATCAATGTGAAAGTTGCAAGATAGAATTTATCTCCAGTTATTCTTTAAAATGCCATCAGAAAATTCATACCGGAGAAGGTCTGTTGTTTTGCAAATTCTGTAATTGTCGATTCAACTGTTCCAGCAATCTAAGTAAACATGTCGAGATTCATACCGGAGAGAACCCATTTATCTGTAAATATTGTAGACAACATTTTGCACAAAAAGATCATCTGAATGTACATCTTCTAATTCACATAGGGGAGAAGCCTTACACTTGTGACCGTTGCAGACGAAGTTTTACACAAAAAAATGCTTTAAAAGAACATCTTTGTACCCACATAGGAGAGAAGCCTTACTCGTGCCATTATTGCTCAAAATGTTACTTTTCTAAATCTACTTTAAATCAACATATTATTAAACTTCATGATAATTAGATTGTTGAATAATGATGTCTTTTATGAATAACGAAAAGGGATCAAAATGATTAACTCATTGCATTTCTTTGTAAAAGTTGTATTAGTATTTTTAGTTTATTCAACATAAATAATGAATATTTGAATTTTTAATTATTTTGATTTGCAATTTTTAGATTTTATATAAAAGATTTGATTTTATGAATGTAAAATGGAAATATTTTGTTTAATTATTTTTGAATAAATGGTGGTGGTGGTTTAACTTTTTATTTTAAATTGGTGCAAGGTTTTCCACACTTTGTATGGGGAGGAAAACAAAAGAAATAACATTAAAATAAAAGTATGGAAAAAATTCAGATAATTAGGTCTACAATGTTTAATACAGTATACAATTTATTTATTATTTAATAGTTCACAAATCACAATCCTGTATACTGTTTAAACAGAATATATACATATGTATACAGTACATATTCATACATTTTTTGGGAATCATCATTTCTACTAATGGGGATCAGTATTTCTCCGCACCGCTTTCACATAATAGGGCTTAGATACAATATTCTTTACAATGACTTATACTTTAAATACAATTATACAAAACTTAAAAACAAATTACAAACTACTGAGCAACTCACTCAGGAAAATTAATTACAATTTAACCTGAGCTACTTTGCTCTGTATGATCTTAAAAAAGGTAACAAGCTGCCTGTATGTCTGTTCGTTCTTGATTAATTGGTACACACCACAAGGCCAGTGTAACCCTTCTTCTAATACAACCATTTCGAGATAATGTCTTCCAGATGTCCATTCTAAGCAATCATAAATAAGATGGTCCAAAGTCTCCATCTCCTCTCCACATACACATTCATTTTGTTCATCCAAATGAAACCTGCTCCTATATTCTCCGAGGCCATCGTGTCCCAAAAGAAATCAAGTTTATGCTCTTTCCCAAACCACTTAAGATGGGAGAGTTTTTCATCAATATTTGGGAGTAAGTCAAAGGTTTTCCTCCCTTTTATACTATTTGTCCAAGTCTGTTGCCATTTCTCTATAATTTTACTTTTTAATGCCTCTTTTCCCCAGGACTGTGGAATTGTGTTAAACACTTTTTCTTTACCAGTGGCTGCTGCTGTGGCCAGAAAATCAGCCTGTTCATTCTCATATATACCGACATGTGCTCTGACCCATTTAAAATAAAACTTCTCTATTAGACCATGTTCTCTGAGTTTTGTCTGAATACTAAAGACCTGCTGATATTTACATTTACAGTTAGTGAGGGCCTGAAGAGCGCTGCAACTATCTGTATTTATACAGACACCTTCTTTCCATTCATGTTTTATACACCATTCAACAGCTTTGTCTATGGCCAATAAATCAGCCTGAAAATTATGCTTCCAACGTAACTTTGTCACTATGAATTTCTTCATTATGCTCATAAACTATGAAAGCGGCTCCAGTGCCTGAATCAGACCTAGAGCAGACTGTATATATATCAGTCTTAATTAGGTCATTAGCCAGCAGCCTTGCCCCTACACTTTCAGCTGGGTGAGGCAGTTCCTTTACTAAGATATCTCGTTCATAATTATTTAGATCAATTGAAATATAGCTCCTGTTATCCTCTCCTCCTTTCTTTAGCCAGTACCTCTGAGCTCTTTCCTCTATTATTAATTGAAGAGGCACTTTTCCTGCTAACACCATAAGAGCCTTTGTAGATGTAGTCTTAAAACAATTTGTAAGCTTCAAAAGAGCAGTTCTTTGAGCCTGCCTAAGGCACCTCATCTGATTTGTATTTCTGACCTTACCACTCCACACCAAAGCTACATAAGTTATTATTGGTATAAACATACCATCATATATAGCTTCCTTTGCTTCTGACTTGAGCCCCCAGGTCCCATAAGCAACCTGGGCCAACTTATTAAAAGATATATTAGATTTTTTTTAAACTGCTTTACATGCATATTCCAGCTCAACCTGTTATCGATTATTACACCCAGATATTTTATGTTATTCACCTCCTCAATCTTATCATTCCTCATCCTTATAATTGGTGGCTTTTTCTGCAAAGCTGAGGTAAAATCCTTTGCAAATATCATGATTTTTGTCTTTTGTGGTTTAAATACTAACTTGGCCTTTGCCCCACTGATCTACATTTTTCAGTAGGCTTCCACACTACATCTCTGTTTCTACGAGAATGCCCAGAGCAAATTATCATTGTCATCGGCATATGCCATGCATCGAACTCCTCTCCTCAATATTTTCCTTATTATACTATCAAATTGAAGTATCCAAAAACTGGGCCCGGACTTTGAGCCCTGCAGGCATCCTCTTTCTAGTACATTCTCCACACTCAAATAATTAGAATTATACTTTGCTTTCCGCTCATTAAAGTAATCCTTTACAAGATAATACAGATTCATTGGACAATTGTTAGTCCTTAAGTGGTGGAGAATCATTTCCCACCACACAGTGTTCAAAGCACCCTTAATTTCTAAGCTTATAGCTACTGCATATTTGGCTCCCTGCACTACTATGACATCTTTCACAACTTTATTTATTGCGTCCTGTCGACCTTTTGGCCCTAAACCCAAACAACCTCTTCAATTTTATTATCATGCTCCCAATGCCACATTATCCTTTTAATCATTAGGTCATCTAAGACCTTACCCATTACAGGCAACAGGCTTATCGGCCTGTAACTTCCAGTGTGTGTAAAATCCGTTTTCCCAGGTTTTGGGTTTATCACTATTCTTGCCCTCTTCCATCTTTCAGGAAATACTCCATGCCTCAGACATTGATTATACGTCGTGAGGAGTACCTCTGGACAGGACTCCCACATTTTCCTTACTATTTGAATCACAAATCCATCATCACCTGGGGCCTTATTTGCTTTTATGTTATTTATATTCTCTTTAACTTCTTCAGCTGTAAAATTTGAGGGTCTTCCCTCTCTTCATATACCTCCTCTACCACTTGCCTGATTTTCCTATGTTCCTCATTTATGAACAGTCCTGCTGTCTTCTGAAAAGAATTGATCCGAAAGGTAAGGAATTGTTTCCTGCATTGATCTAATGTATCCACATTGGGTATTGACTGTCGTAGTTATTGTCTTCCTTGTTAGATTTTATCTTTCCTGTACTGAGCTTGAATGTAAAACTCCATGGATCACTTGGATTTTCCTTGCAATAAGCTTTCCAAGAACTTAACTTATAATCCTTAATCTTTTGCTTATAATGCTTCTCAAACCTTAGTATGCTCTTTCCTTCTTTTTCCTTTTCCTTCTGATCCCAGGAATGCTGAAACCTCCTCCTTAATCTTTTATTGTTCCTCCTCAAGAAGGTAAGATTTACATTCCACCAAGGAATCAAATGCCTCCTGTCTCTTCTGTGGTATACAATCCTCAAATATCTCATTAATCTTCTGAATAGCACTATCTATATTAGCCTGTACCTCCTCCTTTTCCAAGCAATTCCTATTTATTAGTTCAGAGTTCATTTATATACACCGGGCCGAAAACTTCGCCCAGTCTGCCCTGTTAATATCAAACTTCTTCCCTTCAATTCTCTCTCCAACCTTTGGGAGTTGAATCTTAAAACTTATCGGCGAATGGTCACTGAGACAACTTTCCGCCTTAACCTCCCATTCACCTATCCATCTTAGACCTTTACTATTACACATCGTTAAGTCGATCCATCTTTGTCCTCTAGGCCCAACAAACGGTGGCGATGCCGGATCATTAACTACATGCAGCTCATGCACTGCTAAAAATTCTAGGAATTCATCGGCCTCAGTATTCTGCAATGGATCTCCCCAGACTGGAGAGTGGACATTAAAATCCCCTCCTATAATAATGGCCTGTCCTGTAAACTTTTGCATTATCCTTTCAATGCCGTTATAGATGTCGGCCATCTCTTCTCCGAACGGGCGGTATATACTCACAATTATAGTCCTCTGGCCAAAAACAATTATCTCACAACATATACACTTATGATTACTTATATCCTTATGAAAAAGGATATCAATATTCAGAAGAGCCGCTAGTTGTTTGAACACCCGTGGGCAATACCGATTATGCCACCCCCTGTTTAACTACGACTATCTACGCTGAGCTCGCTAGTAAGGCTCTCTAGTGTTGTCTTATAAGGGTGTGAAAAAAGAAAAAAATACTTTACAAAGAAAACTATTTATTTTTATTACTAAGTTATTTTTGTTTACTTAAGTGTAAAGCCATATAAATATTTATTTACAGAAATTTAACTCTTCTTGACTTTATGTTTGCGAAGTCTGCTATGAATTTTCTTATATCAAAGCTGTCTAAGATTTTGTGTTCAATTGAAACTATAGCTAAATTATTTAGTCTTGCTGGTACATTGTTGATCTTAAATAGTTTTTTATAATTTTTAACTTTGAAAAGGACCTTTCACCAAATGCAACTGAAACCGGCAATGTAAGTAATATTCTTAGTGCTATTGCTGTGTTAGGAAATGTTAATATTAAGTCATTAGTAAGAAGATATTTTAATAGGGTTTGTGGATCATTAGAATGGTTTTCTGGAAAATGCAACTTTAACGTACAGAT